GGGTTCTAGTCCCAGTAGGGGCACCAGATTCTGTCCCGGTTGCCCCTCTTCCAGGCCAGCTCTCTGCTGTGGCCACGGAGTGTAGTGTAGGATGGCCCAAGTGCTTGGGCCCTGCACCCCATGGGAGACCAGGAGAAGCACCTGGCTCCTGCCATTGGATCAGCATTGTGCGCCGGCCGCGGCGCGCCAGTCGCGGCGGCCATTGGAGAGTGAACCAAGGGCAAAGGAAGACCTTTCTCTCTGTCTCTCTCTCTCACTGTCCACTCTGCCTGTCAAAAAAAAATTAAAAAAAAAGAATGTTTACTCTTGCTACTCTTATTTGCCATAGGATTGGGAGTTTTAAACAGAGCAATAAGCCATGAAGAAGATATAAAAGATGTACAAATTGGAAAGAAATAATGAGCATATATTTATACGGGATTTTTAATAGAAATAGATAATCAAAAATCCATACGGTAGGGCAATCTTTATTAAAAGTTCAGGTTTGATATCAGCACACTATGATCCCCAAACTTTGGGGGAAACTGATTCAAAAGGCTAGATGTAAAAGAGTAGTTGTCACATAAAATATTTCTAGCAAAGCAACACATAAAGCTCCCCCAAAGTTGGGAAAAGTAGAAAAAATTTCAATTGGCTAAATAGCTAAATCCACTGAAACACAAGGATGAACTATAGCACATGCCCCATAAATACATAAAACAACAACAACTAATATAAAATATAGCGAGAAAACCTAAAGGAAATGCAGTGTGGGCTGCAGAAAGAAGGGAAAGAGGAAGATATTGAAAAGCTGAGATAAGTAAACAAATATTCTTTGAGAGAAATGCTAAGAAAATGTCTTTATAAAGTTAGAAAGGAAGTCTGATAATATATTTCATATAAGCATTGTGGTTTTGACATATGTTGTTAAAGTGTAATAAATATTAAACTACCAAATAAAGAAACTTGGTTGATGAACACAGGTAATTACATTGCTCTTCCTTTAATTTCTGCCCTAATTTTGGATGATTCATTTAACTTGGGATTCTTCACTCTCCTGTATTCTACACTTTCAATTAGCTACCGGTCTCTAATATTTAATTATTGTGAAATTCTGGTTTTCCTAACTTCTAAATTTCATTGGTTCAGAACTTAACATCTCCACCACTGTGTTCTGACTTAGACAAAGATATTATTTTGCCACAGTAGCATAACCCACAGAATATATCTTCCAGAGACTCTGGGGAACATATGCCAATGGGGAGTTTGCTAATCTTTAGGTTGCCAGGTCATTTGTCCTGTCTGTGACTCACAAGTAAATTATGGCTCCTTTTTAAATGTATCCAACAGATAATTGTTCAGTCACTGCTACAGCCCAGGTGCTGTCACATTAGACTCCTCCTACTGTGGAACTTACACAGTCTATAGATAGAATACAAAATTAACAAATATAATAACTAATTTATCCAATAACTTAGGAAGTGGTAATGTTATATAAAAAGCTTGCAAACATACAAGAGTACAATAGGATAAAGCAGGCATAGACTGCAGGCACCTGGGACACGATTTAGTTTTTTGTTTTGTTTTGTTTTTGTTTTAGTTTTTTTTTTTTTTTTTTTTTTTTTTACAGGCAGAGTGGACAGTGAGAGAGAGAGACAGAGAGAAAGGTCTTCCTTTGCCCTTGGTTCACCCTCCAATGGCCGCCGCACCGCGCTGATCTGAAGCCAGGAGCCAGGTGCTTCTCCTGGTCTCCCATGGGGTGCAGGGCTCAAGCACTTGGGCCATCCTCCACTGCACTCCCTGGCTACAGCAGAGAGCTGGCCTGGAAGAGGGGCAACCGGGACAGAATCCGGCGCCCCGACCGGGACTAGAACCCGGTGTGCCAGCGCCGCAAGCGGAGGATTAGCCTAGTGAGTTGCAGCGCCGGCCACGATTTAGTTTTAAATATGTGGTGACTTCAAAAAGTTCACAGAAAATGGAATTAAAAGATAAGTTTGGGGTGGGCATTTGGCCTAGCGATGAAGATGTCTGGGTTCCATATCCGAGTATCTTCCAGCTTTGGCTCTTGATTCTAGATTCTTATTATTGCAGACTCTGGGAGGCAGTGGTGATGGCTCAAGTAGCTGGATCTCTGCCACCCACACGGGAGACCTGGATTGAGTTCCTAGCTCTTGGCTTCTGCTTGGTCTAGCCATGGCTGTTGTGTTTTGGGAATGAATCAGTGGATGGAAGTGTGTTCTCGCTCTCTTAAAAAAAAAAAAATTGATAGGCTTATTTTGGTGCCGAAAAATTTTAAATCCATGCATTTTTTTCATAATACACATTTTCCATGATCTTTTTGAAGTCTGATCTTCTGTGTATGGTGGTTAGTGTAGGCTTTTTGAGAGTGTGATGTCTTAGTGAATATTTGGATGTTTAAAGAGTTGGTCCAGTAGAAATCAGGAGGAAGAGCCTTCCAGGAAACTGGTCATGTACAGCTTTCTAAGTCATTTAGAAGAGTTTGGCATAATTCTCTGTGAAATGAGAAGCCCTTGCTGAAATTTAAGGAAAAAATTGATGTTACAGAGGTGTTGTGAGTTGACCGTAGGAGAACGAATGGAATAAACGTTGCAAGACCCAGTGGGTTTTTTGTCATGATTGTGAAGCCAGCCCCCAGCTGACTCCAGGGTGTTTGATCTGCGAAGCCAGAAGGATGGTGTTGCCAACAACACGAAAGGCTTCAGGCAAGTCTGCGGTGGCTATTTCTAGTATTTCTAAGGTTTCAAGGGTTTCCTGGTAACCAGTGGCCTCGGCTGTGGCTTGAGTCCTGAGATCTCTTCTCCATTTCGGTATTTCTCACCAGCTCTACCACCAACCCTTTGAGCCTTAGCTTCCGGGGAGCAAGATCAGCCTGATTTTTTTGGCGGCCTGTTGGCTGGGTCCTTTTATTCTAAGCCCTAATTGTAAGCCTTGCATTGGAAAAGTTCTCCCTCAGGACATAGGTCCTTGAGGGAACTGAATGCTTCTCCATTGGAAAACAAAGCAAAACAAAGAACCTCCTGATACCATACTTTCATTTTTCTTAAAATACACAGAAACTTGGTTTTTGGAAACAAATTTCATCCTCATTTTGCAACATGGAAGAGTTAAATACTCTACGTATGGATATGGAAGGATTTCTCCAGTTTTCAGAAAAATATTTGAACCTTGACCTAGAAAATCCGTCTCAAAGATGAGTATGGAATACACTATCCAAACTCGGACTGACTTATTCTGGGTTCTGTGTTGGAGTTGTTGAGTTCACAGTGGATGGAATGAGTTTTAAAATATGCCAACTGCCCAGCAGGACCTTGGCTGAAACTATTAACTTATTCTATTCAGGTCCTTGGGTAATTGTGATAGAGGCATTGGTCCCTCCGGTCAGGTTTGCACTAAAGTCATTGCACAGCAAAACTTCCCCAAGGCTACATTTTTATGTTTCATTTTCAGACTGTTGGTGCCATAGGAGCAATTAAAATTGGTGAATAATGTCTTTCCCCCTTGATAAATAATGTGGATGGCCTGCAGTCTGCTTAAATTCCTGGCAAGGGATTTAACAGTCTATTGTGTCAGGAACAATGTGGATGCAAATTGTAAACATTTATCATCTACAAAGTTTCATGCAGTTTTCAAAGCAATGTCAGTTGAAACAGATGCGCTAACCCCCCCAGTATAAAACAGTATTTAGAAGATTTCTCCACATTCCCTCAAAACATTTTGGTTTCCAGTAAATTTTATTTATTATGTAAAACAATATTGTAAAATCTACTAGAAAGTGAACAGTAATGGGTAAAAAGTCTAATGTCCTCTAAAATTGATTTCTTGTCTTTTTAGACACCATGAACTATTACTAAAATATATCAATAAATCCTTCCATTTAGTGTAATTTAGTAGGGAAACTCCTTTGCATGTTTATTAGTGCTTATTAGGGGGTAACTACATACATGCTGGTGAAAATCCCCCAATATATTTATCTATCATCTTAGAATTTTACAATTGTTATTATTTTCTCATGAAAAATCACTGATCCTCACGGGAAAGTCCAAAGATTTGAAAGTCTTAAGAGTAAATTAATAGTTTGCCAAGGGGGAAAATACTTTAAGAATTATTATGACTCAATATAGCACCTTCAAAGAGAAAGACATGAATCAACAAGCATTGACTAACTTCTTACAAGGCCTTGAACTGAGCATGTGGGGAATACAGAGAAAAATAAATGATGAGTTAGACCCCAAGAGACTTACAATCTAGTTTGTCAGAGTGGTCAAGTTAAAGCATATGACAGTATAGGAGCTAATAATCCCCAAACTGAATAGATATCATAAAGCACATTTTAATCATTTTGAGTAGAAACACTATTCTTCTGAGATAATCAGTTAAGACTCCAGGAAGAGATGAAATTAAGCAGAGATTTAGAAATGGTGAACTATAAATATAGCAGACTCCCCTTCTAGGGGATTCCAAGCTGTGAAACTGTATAGTATCAAACCCCATGGCAGTCCATGCTCTGTTTTCTCTTGAATGCCCTGCCATTTGGACACCTAGTCTCTGTCCTTTAGTATTTTATGCTCTGATGGCTCCTTTGGATCCCTGCTGTTGTGGTTAAGGGGGCACTGTTAAGTGACATAAGGGACACTTGAACACAAGCACTGAGATACTGCGACAGTTGATCTGATAAGTGAGACAGCTACCAAGTGACTAATGGGTGGGTAATATATACAGTGTGAGGACGGTGGACAAAGGGGTGATTCACATCCTGGACAGGAAGGCATGAGAGATTTCATCACACTCCTCAGAAGAGTGTGCAATTTAAAACGGACAAACTGTTTACTTCTAGAATCTTCCGTTTAATATTCTTAGACAACGATTGACTGGGGGTAAATGATCTTGTGCGTATAGAGGGACCATTGTACGTGATTGTACGTGGAAAGGAGTATGAAGGAAACTTCTTGGTGAGAAATACCACGAGGAAAGATCCGAAAACAAAAGAGAAGCTCACAGACTTGGGAGGTGAGTTTGACTGAAGTGAGGGATTGCTGTCTGGTGATGGGAGGAGTCTGCTCTGAGGATTCTTGTGTAAGGATTCAGAGGCAATGAAGTTCAAGTCCCGGATCTCTGCTACATGCGAACGACATGTTACTTAGCGATTTGACAGTTTTGTACCTCAGTTTCCTTTCTATACAGCGCAGATGGTGTCTGCCAGGCAGAGCTGCGAGGGCCGCGTGAAACAACAGCTCATTGTGATCCAGTAGAGGGGTGGTCATTTCCTCTGTGGCAAATGGGCAGGGCAGAGAGGCCACGCGGGGCTTGGGAGAGGGAGTGACGTCACTACACAGATGGTGTGGGCTTGGGGAATGCCAGATTTGTGATGTTGTGCAGAATGGGTGTGCCGGAGGTGAGAGTAACAGTGGACCACACACAGAAACAAGGCAGTCTAAACCGGCGGTCCTGGCTATGGCCAAGCCTGTGGAAACAATGACGTAAATATCAGAAGAAAGGAATGAAGGGATTTGGTTAAGACAGAGCTAAATGCGACAAATGAAACCCAGGAGAAAAACTTACTATTTCTCAGGTTAAGGAAAGAAGCATCAAACTAATAGAAGAAAATGCTAAGGAAAAACTTACCACAACCACTTGTTTTGATTTCTGTTTTGTGCTGCTTTATCTGCCCAGTGTCCCATCCAGATCTTTCCTTTGGGTTGGTTACTCTCTTTCCACTTTGGTGACATGTTTGTTATCTAGGGAATCGTAGTCCTTTAGTTCCCTGGCATCAGTGATTGGGCTGCAGGTGAACGTGTAATGAGGCTGGGCCAGTAAAAGTCATTCCCCAGAATTTTTCTGCCTGAAGATAAATCCTGTTGGCCTCTCTGGATTTAGAAGCTAGAAGGTTATCAATCAGCAGAAAACTTCTGGCAGAAATGAGTGAAACCAATTGGAGACCAAGGAGATTAGAGAAGCAGGAAGATTTAGAAGCTTGGTGATGTTGAGATTAGCTTTATTTCCTAGGGTCCACAGAGTTGGCCTAATTTCTACAGGATGTCTTTTCAAATTTCTGTGAGCTAACCACTGTCCTTCAAGTAAATTTCTTTGCATTTAAGCCAGGTTATGCAAGAGAGACACCAGTGTTGGGCTTTATAAAAGTTCAAAGTTTCTTCAAGCCAAAAATATTACAAACAAGATTAAATCAAGTTGGGAAATGCTTGTCAACAACTACAATAGGACAAAAAGGGCACCTATCAAATGGAGTCAGTTTATATCTCAGTAAGAAAGTAGTAACATTCCAAGAGAACAATGAGCAGGGGCCAGGAGCAGACCATTTGCACAAGAAAGAGTCAATAAATGAGTCTCCTTTAATGGTAATCAAATATGCACCCAGGCAAAAAAGTCTGATAGCTCAGGAATCAAATCGCAAAGATGAAAAACATGGGAGGAATATTTAGGTACAGTGCGTGCATGAGTTCTACATTTCTTGAGGGCTACCTTTGCTGTATGTCTCAAGAGCCTAAAAAGTCAATGACCCTTGATTAAAACATTCCACTTCTGGGAATTATCTTAATGGAGTAATCAAACATCCTGATTTGTGCACAAAGATTCATATGTAAAGTGATATGTTGGTGAAATTGTAATTGTCTGACAGTGATTGTTGATGAAATAATGAGGAATGTACAGTCATATGCTGAAAAATTATGGGCCAATAAAATCACATTTTTGGATATACTTCCTTGACATGGAAAATGTTTACTGTATACTAATGGAAAAAAGATTGTGCAAAGTGACATGATCTAATATTACTATTATAATAATATGTTCTAAATATTATTTTATCTGTGTGCATGTATGTGTATATGTGTTAGGATGTGAAAAAATGGAACTTTTTTTTAGCAAGAGTTTTTGGCCAAAGTCAAAAGCTAAGAATAATTGATAACAAGTATACTCACATAATCAACAGTTCCATAGTATTTATGGTCAATTTTAAAAAAAGAGGCTTGGTAATCACCATTACCACTAGCAGGAGCCTATAGAAGAGATTTCTCAGAAAAGATAACATGAAGTGAGTTTAGAGAGTGCTTTTCTGCATGGACTGTGGCAGTTGATATGGCCCTGGAGGTATCTGAAGTGGGAAGTAGGCTGGGCAGTCCACAATGGCATGGCAACGAGAGGGGGCAGCAAAGTGAGAAGAGGCCTCACTTCTCCCTTGGGGAGGGGTATGTGGGTTTTTGTCTATGGGGTGATTGGGATGCTCTCCCTTCCCTTCATCTCTTCCCAACTGTTCCAAAGTAACCCACTAGCTCTCAAAAGGCCAGTTCCCTTATGGTTTCTTGCCTACCTGGGCTCTTTTTAACTCCCAACACCACAGCTTCCTCCAATCCAAGTCTTTGCACTACAGATAGCCCTGAGCTCAGGGAAGGCAGAAGCACGATCTTGACTTAGATAGAATTGGACTTTAAAGGCTTGCATGTTAAATGGTTCCCACGCCCAAACATGACAGGAACGCTATGGCATCTGCCTGGATCCTGGGTAAGGGCAGGGGATGGAGAACTGATGAAACACACTTGAAGGTCGTGGTGGGGAGGAAGGAAATCACACAGCTTTGTCTTTGTACTCCACCACGCTCAGCCTGTTCCATAATCACTCCAAAATGCATCGATCAAGGGTGGAAAAGCATACATTGAAACATTTTCTGAAATCATCTCTGAGTGATGAGGGTATAGGTACTTTTTAACATCTTATTTGTATCTTTCCCGTAGAGTTGTCAAAATTTCCAAAGTAAATTTGTAAACTTGTGTGACTTAAGAAAAAAATTTAAAAATAAAAAAATCCCTAAACAGTACTAGTAAAAAACAAGACATATAAATGAAAGGTGTAGAGGAGATGGCTTCAGAGACTAGAGAAGAAGCGAGACTAAGACCAAACCTTTAAAAGGGAAGTGTCTCCTTCTTATGTCAGGAGAACCACACTGTATCCGTATTTCTGTGGAAATTGCCTTTTGTTTCTCGGAGACCCTCTTAATTTTCATTTCTCCACAGTAGGCCTGGCTCTTGCCAGCTCCTCTTGGAATACTGCAGTGACCTCATAATCCATGCAGAGGGAGACAGAGCCAAGCTCCACACTGTTGACTGGACTATCTTCTCCAACCATACCTTCCTCTTTGTTCACCTCTTCCCAATTGCTCCAAAACCAACCTCTAGCTTTGATAAGGCCATTTTCTTCATCGTCTCTTATACAAGGCCAAACTTAACCCTACCTGGGCTACAGTTAATTCCCAACAACCAAAAGGACCTCTCTGTCTCATTAAATTGTCACCATTCTGTAGAGCTCAACTTGGGTCTAGCCCTTTCATTTCAGAGAGTAATAGGTACATGGTTTGGTAGTTGGCTACAGTGAAAAAGTGAGTTCTTTACTTTTCATATATGCAAAGAATTATAAACTCCACCAGTGTCAGAACTGTGCCCTGTACTTGTGTGTGTGTGTGTGCATTATGCGTATAGCCTCATGTGATACATTGTTTAGCACATAATCTCAGAAAACACTGGTGAATGAATTGCCTCTCAGTAATTATCATGGACCTATTTATTTTGTTAATTCATTATCAAAGCTCTTAGGATTCTGAAACTTGAAATAGTCCCTTTTGAATGTGGTGAACTTTCTAAATCATCTTTTCTCTTTTTTCACTTAGGTATGTGGCCACGTAGAAGTAATTTCACATCACAGTATCTTAAATAGAGTAACAGAGTAGACTTAGATGAGAGCAGAATAAGACAATAGACCTAGATAGAAGAGCCCTTATTTAAAACCACTGGTACTCGCAATGAAAAGAAACTTTCATAGTGCTATTATTACTTTAAAAATTACTTTCTGAGTTTCCAAACAAGGGCTATTAAAAATATAGACAGCTTTTTCACACTTCCTCCCACTCTATCTTCGAGGAAAACCTATTTTTTTCCTTTATCTTTCTGAACAGATTGAAGGGAATAAAAGAGGCTCATGCTTATTTTCTCCACACCTAAATTTTCCCATTATAAGTAAATTTGCCCTGACTCCACATAAATATTAATTAAAGAGCAAGAGAGAGAGAGAGAGAGAGAGACAGAGAGAGATTAGACACAGAGCAAGAGGTCAGGGATTTTCTTAGGTCCTTGGAAGGGCCCTAGCCAACAGGACTGTCAAACACTAAATATTTCTGTGAGCTGCATATTTCAGAAGTCTGGTCTAGGGCGTTGATTGGATCTGACCTCGTTAAGATCAGTGCTGATCACAATACTGAGCTAGCTGTAGTGTTCAGGCGTTTTTGTTAAGCCCCTACTCCAACCGTTCACTTTGGAGCAAGGTTTGTGGTATAGACCAGACAGGAGCTGTGTACTCCCTCCAGCTGGACTCTCACCACCAGGGCCTATCCTGTCCCCCAAGTAGCAGCTTAGGGGAACCAGTCTGAGTATCTGGGTGAGCCCCAATCCCTGAGGCAGCGAGCCCCTCTGTACTTTCCTCCCTGAAAACCTGCCTGACCTCCCAGGTCCATGCCCACCCTGCTCCCCCTACTCGCTTTAAAAAAAAATTCAACTCTTAGGCTTCTGACGATTCCCTACCATTGGGTGGGCAGGTTGCAGAGGGTGAAAGGCAGGCTGTTCTGCTGCTGATGGCCCGGCAGAGGTAAGCACAGGGCTGGAATTCAGAACCCTCTTCCCCGTGGAAACCTTGCTCTACTGTTAGGTAGGTTCTGTGGCTGGTTTAGAACTCAGATGGGGGATGTGGGTCAAGTGGACTTCTGTGATTTCTCTTGGGCACCCATCCATTCCTTTTCAGTTGTTTCCTTAGAAAATGGCCCTGAGTTCCAAACACTTGACCATGAATCACTTTTGTGTGTGTGGAGAAAGCACTGGGGACCTAAATTATTTGTCTGCTGTGAATCCAGACAGGTGTGGGTCCCTTTGAAGGGCTTAGCTCATACCACCCTTGCTCTAGGCCTGGGACTCCTGAGCTGTTAAGGAAACCACATACACCAAAGAGTGAGCATCCCAAAAAGAAATAACAGATCTGAGAGGAGAGTGTGCACAGGAGCTTGGTACAAGATCCTGAGGGTGGTGGGGCAGAAGGACAGGAAAGGGTGAAGTTTTCTAGGCCTGTTGGCCCAGCCCCATAGAGATTTTAACAGTGTTTTATCAAGTCAGTTTCCATAGCCAGAGCCATTTGCAAGAGGGTTGTAACAAAAAGCAAGTAGAACAATGAACTCTAGAGAGTTCCCTTAGAAATGGAGGCCAGGGCTAGCGTTATCTTTTGACTAGTAATAGGGCCTGCTGTAAAGGTGTGTGTATTGGGGGGGGGTATTCCACAGTTCAGCTGGAACAAAATGGATGTTCCTTGCCTATAGCCAAGACCACACCAATCTGATAATGACAGAGGTGTAACAATAGCAGCAAAGAAAGTTGGAAGCCACATGAAATGATGAAAGAAATAGAGGCCATCATAGGGAGCAGAGGAAATGTTCATGGCCATTTCTGAATCTGGGTGGGAGCCTACAGGTTCAGGGAAGAGGGTCAAAGGACGGAGATCCATAGAGGGAGATCAGGGGATCTCATCTCAATTTATCAAATTTTGTCCTTTTGACTGTGTCCTGGGAACTTGGTTGTTCTCATAGATCCCTTGGTGCTAGTCCAGGATCAAGCATAAAGCACCCCTCAAAAAATGCTACTGAAAGCCTAGACAAATAAAATGAAATAAAATATACTTGGCACCTAATAAAAATGACTAAATACATTGAGGTTCAGACAGAAGACAAAAGACTTCCTGTGCTGCTGTACTGAAGACACGTTCTATGTAGGTCTGGAGCCCAGTTTTACCCTTTGTTGTTTAACATTATAGCTGTTGACGGTGCCCATCCCATCTCGGCCCGCAGAGCAGCACTACAGACTTACGAAGAGAAACCAGCCACCGCTTTGGTTGTTTAAAAGTGGTTTTATGGTCCGCTGGGGGCACCAAGCCTTTTCCTCCTAAATGAGGTTGGGGTGGGTAACAACGTGGAGGGTAAGGTGATGACGGCAGTGCTGGTGCACATAGGGGTAGGAGGAAATTTTGATGAGGGGTGTGATATGTAGTCTGGCCATGACTCCTGCAGCCAGGAAGCCTTCTCCCAAAAGTTGAGAGTGTAGTGCCACTGCGGCAATGGGCCCTTATGCATCCTAACCATCTTCTCCCCCCACTGCCGTTGTCACTGTCTTCATCCAGGCCCTCATTAACCCCGCCTTCCACCTGGGCTCCTTCCGGTCCCATCTCCGCTCCATCCATCCTCCACGCAGCGGCTGGAGCAAGACCTCTGAAACCGCAGACCCCACTTTATCAGCACAATGCTGCTTCCTGTGGCCCTTTCCATTCCTCTTTTCATTTCACACTGCATTGATTGACAGCAGCGAGCTATTCCTCACACACACACCATCGCAGGCTCTCGCTTCGCAGGCTTTGCTCCTGGGGCAGGCATGTGGTCTGCTTCCATTGACTGTGCCTGAAATACGATCTCAGTACTTCACTTCACCCAAGATGAAGCCCACACTTTTAAGGTCTCCATTTTCTCCCTACCTTTTCAAACATCCCAGAATCATTGCTTCAGCCAGACTGTTCTATAACATTTATGGTTACCTACAACCTCTTTCTCCTTCTAGTGGTTGTTTATACTGACCTCTGCCAGCAGAGCCCTGTATGTCTCTATCCATTCATTAATGCCTTCGCTGAGGCATTCCAACCCCAGTGATTTCTTGCTCTTCCAATCTCCGAGTTCTTGTTGTTTGGACTCATTGCATTGGACTGAATATTGGTTTGGCTCTTCATGAGTATGTCCTACCTCCGCCACAAATTTCCAAGCTCTGTGAGAGTAAAGACCATGCCTCAAGTTCCTAAGCATGCCTAACTGGCTGTCTTGTACATGGTGGGTACTTAGTGGATATTTGTGGTTCTTCATCTATTGGATCTACTCTCTTCCCTTAGGTCATGGTGGCCCCACATTTTGGTGAGCTTTTATTAAATGAGTTCAGAGAAGACAGGCCAGTAAATTTTAACTTCCAAATGTAGAAGTTACTCAAGGTCAAATTCCTCAGTTCCCCAAAAGGGGATAATAACTTTTATGGGGTGCCTAGCAACAGTCTTAAGTTCTACTGAGCAAGTCCCAGGAGCCTGTAACTTTTGTGTCAATGAGAATTATAATTACTGAGAACAATTAGAATGCTGTGGAAACCATGAATATTACAATTCATGCATCTGTAAAATTGCCATTTCAAGGCTCATGAAAGATACAAGCTTAAAACAAAGGAGAACACAAAAAGCTTTGAACTAGATTTCTTGTCACAATAAAGAAAGTTACTTTAAGGTAGTTGGGACTATTTAATTCTTTTTACACATATTCCGGTTTGTTTCTGAGTATTTCAGCTTCATGAGACTCTTCTGGTATTCTTATTTTTCTACTCAAAATTCTCTTATCTATATTCATGGTTTTATTATGCTTTTGATAAAAATTCTAATCAATACCTTGTGCAACTTGATATGTAATGCATTTTTTCTTCTAAAGATCTTGGACACAAATTATATGTCATTTATCTTCCCCTAGAATTTAGCGTCTTTTCCATTGTAAGCGACAAAATACTTGGCTTATGCAGAAGGGAATTAATGACTCATTTAAAGCTGGAAGTGTAAGGCTAGATCAAGCCACAAGCACGGCTGGGATTAGACCTGAAAAGATATCATACGTATATGGGTTCTTGCCATCTTTTGCCTTCCAAGTGTTGCCTGAAGTCACAGGCATCATGTGGCAGCAAGAGGGAGGTGACAACTCTGAGTCCTTGAAGCCCTTTATCCCAAGCTTCAAGGCAGCACAAAGAAGGATGCTCTTCCGTAGACATCTCAGTGAATGCGTCTCATTGATTCTCAGTGTTGATGTGTCCACCCTAAATCAATTACCGTGGACTTGGTGGAGGGGCAGGGTAGGCACCCCCTCTCCGTAAGGGTGTGAACTGCTCCACCAGATTCTCGTGGACTGAGAATGTGGATGAACTGATGGTCTTCCGGAAATGCACTTACTCAGCTCTGAGGAGCAATCAGCCTTGTTGACCACATCCTCTTTGAATATATTTTGTTGGCTTTTGTGATGCCTCAGATTTGCCTTCTTTTATCTGGTCATTATATCCTTTCTCTGGTCATTAGATGTTCTAGTCTCTCTAGGCTAGATCCTAGATACTCTGTTAATTGGTGTCCCTTCTAGGGGATTTCATTCATATCCAGGGCCACCTACTAACCAAGGATGAAATTCCCTCTGCAGTCAGAGGCCCTTTGCACTCTTATACTCCACTTCTGTCTCCAGCCGCCTATTTGGCTTCTCTGCTTGGCTCTTTTAAGGTCACTTCCGACTCAGCACGTTCAAAACCATATCTCCTGTCCTTCAAACAAATCTGTCTGAATGACACAGATGGAGATGTTACCCAGTATCACGCATCACGCTAACCTAGAAATTCAGAAGAAGCAGAGGGATTCTCAGGCACTGAGAGTGGCTCACCAGGTCCTGCCTTCCTCCTCCAGACCTGCACTTCTGCCTCACTTAAGTGAGGTTTGCTCTGGGTGACAGTCCAGTCATGAACCATCTCTGTATGTCGGGGAGCTGCTGTGCTGTGGC